ACCGGAGCGAGGGGAGAGAGAGAAATGGCAAGCTCAGCAACTTGGGGGCGTGGGAGGGGGTGAGGGTGGGCTGGGAGGATCCGCAGGGGCAGGATTCCAGAGCCCTCCGGAATGAAATCCACCGCCCGACACAGAACGATGTCCTGGCCCTGTTCTAAGTGCAGCACTTACTTCATCTTAGCAGCAGCCCTAAGAGGTCTGAACTATTACAGTCCCATAGGAAGGGTGGGGAACCTGAGAGGCAAAGTAATTTGGTCACAGAGCTGGTGTAGAGCCAGGATTAATTTCGACTCCCATGGTCTAACACCAGGGTTTGGTTCTTAAGGACATGCTGTATGCTTCCTGGGGGATGTGGTGCCTGGGGATGAAGCACCTTTACCTCACATAAAAAAAATTTCATTTACTACAAGTTTACTGAGTCAAACACAAGGACCCTGCCCCAATCTCAGCAGCTCATAGCAGCTACAAACAAGTGAACGCTGACAGTAAAGTGTCCAGTAGTGTTCTGATAGAGTCACACATGCCTATGCACGGGGACTCCTGAAGCAGAGAGGAAGGGTGTCTAACCTTCCTCAGGGGAAAGGGGGTCAGGGAAGCCTTCCTGGAGGCGGTGTCCTCTAGGCTGTCTTGAAGGACAAGTAAGGTGTTCGCTAGGCCAATAAGGAAAGCGGGTGTGGAATGGCCTCTGGGTAACGGGACCACCACGTGCAAGTCACAGATGGGAAACAGCAGTATACATCGAGGAATCGGAATCTGGAAAGTCTAGGACAGGGGCAAATGAGGGCACGACAGGAGATCTGGATGGAGAGGTGGGCAGGGGCTCGTTCCAGAAAATCCCTGGGGGCTACGTTAGGGCATCTGGACCTCTGAGCTTTTGCGGGGCGGCTGCGGGGCTCTGGAGCATCTGCTGGGCTGGTGCATCACACCCACAGCGCGTGAGGCGGGTCTGTCCCCCGCGCTGCGGTTCGAGCTGGGCGCCTTAGCTGTGCAGCGCAGCCTTGACACAGCGGTTGGCGGTCCTCCTGCCGGCACCTCAGGGCAGACGCTTCTCATTTCCGTCAAGGAAACTGAGGCTCCACGAGGTAAAATGCCCGTCACGCAGCAGGCGTAGAACGAAGACCTTCTGCCTCACAGACCTGTCCTCTTTTTTCTCCCACCCCCTTTCTTTGCAGTACAAATGCATTAGCAAAGCCAGCTATTTAAAGGAACCCCGCAGCTAATCCTTGTGTAAGCAGAAAATCTTTAAGCAAAGCTAATAATCGCCCCGTAATCCAGCTGTTACATAATTCTGGGTTTTACACTTCAGCGTCAGGGCTGAGGTCTTCTGGTCCCTACAGAATGTGGGGAGAGGGAGCCTAGCCCTTTACCCCATGCACTTCCCAGTCCCCCCAAACAGCTTGGACTGCGATTGACTCCCCTGTTGTCATTCTCCCCTCGAGAAATTAGATTCAGAATGGAGATAAAAGAGAACCAAGATCTCGATTTAAAGCTGGTAAAGGGAAGGGAAAAAAATGCAAAATCACATTTATTGAGCGTTTCTTGTATGCCTATCATTACACTAATTCTGTTCTTTAAAAGCTCTATTATGGAAACAGAATTATAACTTAAATAATATTAGCTATTAAGTAATAGTAAATAACAGTATAATAATATAAGAACAGTACTATTCTTATATTTTGGTTGGGGTAACTTGTACAGAGTAGATGAGTAATATATGAAAGTTTACCTAGGTAGTATTACTAATAATTGCTAATATTTATTGAGACGTTACCATGGGCCAGGTGCCATGCCATCATACCATTCAGACCTCCCAAGAACCTTATGAGGTTGGCACCAGTACCATCTAATAAGCTGGGCGCTGACCCTGGGTTCTGAAGCCACACTTACTTCACAGCCCACACTGCCACTTGCACACAGTTCTTCCCTCTTCCACACACATACAAGTGCCTGGTAGGGAAGGGGACAGAAGGAGGCCGCCCACCATATCCTGATAAAACAGACAAGGATTCACTCAAGGCCGTCTCATGAGGGCTGTCGAATTGAAGGAGTCTCCCACCAAGATGCCCTTGCAAGTTTCCATCCTGTTTTGAAGATTCTTGAGTAAAAGTGGACCAAATGACAGCACATGAGTGGACTCGAGAGAAGAGCTGGAGAAATAAAAATCCAAGGGTTTAACTTTAAGCAGTCCCCTCTCTTTTCAGGACTGACACATGATTCCATGAAAAGACTCCAGGATTTAAAGCCAGACCATTGACAATTAGGATTCTGGCCCTGCCACTCACCAACTGGCATTTTACCAATCTGAGCCTCAATTTCTCCATCTGTGAAATGAGACACCCAGGCTCCCTTGCAGGTTTGCTGGAGGCATTAAGAAAGCTCTGTATGCCCACGGAAAATCTGAGAAAACATAAGATTCATAGAAAACTTGGTAACAATGGTTACTTTGGGAAGGCTGTCTGTGGAACCAAGGATTATGGGAGAAAGAATAACTTACCAGTCATTGCCTATACTCTCAAACTCTTTGACTTTTTTGGTTATACATGTGAATATTACTTTAAAAAAATTTGTAAAATGAAAAAAAGATACATATAGGGGCTTAATAACTTGGCAAGCAATGCAAGTCCCTTTAAAAGTTTGCTTCATTCTCCTGGACTGGCTAAAACCATCAAAAATGCACACCCTTGGCAATGCTGGGTACGGCTACACCCAGGACCTGCGCAGAAAGCACCTCTTTCATTTCCTCAGCCTTCCCACCATCTCCCTGCCTCATCCCCCCCAAACCCTCTCCCCAAAGGAGCCCCCTCAGCTTGTTTGGCTAATGTATTCGCAAACCAAATTAGGGGCCCTGGCTCCCAGGGAGGTCCCCAAGCCAGTTGCTAGATGCAGGGAATTAGATACCATCTAGTGTTCAAATCCGATTAGGTCCCCCCCACTCCCACCCCACATGCAAAAGCCCACTTTCTAATCAATTTTACAAAGGGCCCTCTGCAGATATACACTAATGGTATTGAGCTGAGATCTTTAAACCAAGTCTGCAAGAAGTCTGCAGAGATAAAATTACACACTGTACGAAGGAGGAGGCCTGTCGCCACAGTGTCCTGGCCCTCAAAGAGAGGGGCAGGGGTGCAGGGGTATTGTCCGCTGCAGACAAATGCCATCCCTGCTCTAGGGATACCAGCCTCAACTCTCTTTCTCCTCCCAGACTGAACCCTCACCCCAACTCCTTCCCCTTAAGGTTCCTTTTCACTTAACCTTTACACACTAGAGCCCAACAAGTGATCCAGAGATTACTATGTTATTTCCCGTCTCCTAATTCTTGGTCCCCTAACAGCCTCCCCACAGTAACCCCTGCTACCAAGTTTTTTTGTGAATCTTGTATCTTTTCACAGATTTTCCATGTGCATTCATGCATAGCTTTCTTAATCCCTCCAGGAAACCTGCAAGAGAAGCCTGGGTATCCCATTTTACAGATGGAGAAATCGAGGCTCAGACTGATTAAGTACCAGTTGGTGAGTGGTTTAACACCTGGCTCTACCACTTACTACCTGCATGGCCTGGAGCATTAACTTAACCTCTCTGGGCCTCGGGCTATGCAACTGTATAATGGGAGTGATAGCAATCTCCAAGGGTTAAAGAGATTGCTATCACTCCCATTATACATTGGCATCGCCTGAGGGTTAAGAGCATGTGTAAGAACCGTTGCCTGGTTGGGACTCAGTGTTTAATAAAAGTTAGCTCTTACTTCTCTCCTCTACACTGCCACTCACACCAAATTTCTTGGCACTCCCCGAATATTTTATGACGCTCACACCTTTGTCTGGAATGCCTTTTCCCTTGTCCTTAGAGAAGAAGCCTTCCCTTGCGCCATTCTCACTCCCTCCTCAATGTTCCCCTGCACCTCTCTCTTCAGCAGAGATTTACTGGGTGTCTGCTGCGTGTAGCACTGTGCGTTCAATGGCTGCTTGTTGCTCTGTAAGTGCTTGTGCCTTGGGGCATCGTCTATTGGTTAAGTTCCTTGAGGACAGGGACTGTCTCATTCATCTTGGTGTCCTCATAGAAGGTGCCTAATACATTTTTGTGGAATGAACAAAAGAATGAGTCAGTGGGGCTTCCTTGGTGGCGCAGTGGTTAAGAATCCGCCTGCCAATGCAGGGGACACGGGTTCGAGCCCTGGTCTGGGAAGATCCCACATGTCGCAGAGCAGCTAAGCCCGTGTGCCACAACTACTGAGCCCGCGTGCCACAACTACTGAGCCCGCGTGCCTAGAGCCCATGCTCCACAACAAGAGAAACCACCGCAATGAGAAGCCCGCGCACCGCAACGAAGAGTAGCCCCCGCTCGCCGCAACTAGAGAAAGCCCACGCACACAGTAACAAAGACACAATGCAGCCAAAAATAAATATAAATAAATAAATTTATATATATATAAAAAAGAACAAATCAATGAGTGAGGCCAGAGTTCTGGCAACGGCCACCTGCACTCTTTTTGGGCCAAGTCCTGATGGCCCCTCAAACCGGCTTCATGACTCGGGGGTCCCATGTCTGCTCTGCAGATGTGAGTAACTGTGGCCAGATACCCTGTCCTCGAAGATTACTGGTGCATCTGTGATCTGCACACCATGTGCTGCCTGGTGTCTGTCAGAGGGCTGGGCAGCCAGGACCCCCAGTCCAGTGTCAATAGTCACCCAGCCAGGGGCTGCACCAGAGGAATTCACGGGCGCTTTGCACAAGCAGATCAGGCTGGGAGGATCTGTTCTGCTTCAGAGAAGCAGCCAATCAGCTGCCTCCAATCACACTGGGCTCATTAGCTGTGGGTTGTTCAGCTTCCAATGCCAGCAATTCTGTGCCTCGTGCCAAGGGCTTCAGGCAGTAACCGGTTACCTCTGACCTCCTGGGGGCACCCAGACCTGCTCCTCCAAGACAGTTCAGCCCCTATCAATGTTCAGGCTGAGTGTGAATCAGGCCCAGTGGCCTGGCTGGCCCCGCAGGACCTGGTGTGCGCCCTGAGCTGCCTGTGTGGTTGGCAGCTCCCAAATCCTCTGGTCTAAAAAGAAGAAATAGGCAAACCAGAACTCCAGCACCCAGGGGTACCAAGCCAGAGTCACGGTTCTCAGTGCAGGCTCCTGGGACCTTCAGAGGGGCAGCCCCATTCCCGCCTGCCACCAACTTTGGAACCATGGGCTCTGGGGTCACGCTGCATTCCAGCTTGAGACAGCCCAGGGGCTCTGGGTTCTTGTCTTGATCTGCGAAATGAAGCGAAAGTTACAACTAGTGCTCGGTGAGGGCTTCTCTCAGTGTGGTCTGGTGACCAGCAGCATCAGTATCACCCAGAAAGTTTGTTCAATTCAGATGCCAGGGCTCTGCCCCAGACCCATGGAATCAGAATCTTTGGGTGTGAGGCTTCAACCTACACTTCAACACGTTCTCCAAGTGACTGTTACCAAGATGGAAGTTTGAGAACTGCTGTCCTGTGAGCCACGCAGTGAACAGCTGGAAAGCCCTCTGCAAACAGAAAACGTGCTCTGACTCCTGGGGCCCCTGGCACATTAGTTTATCATTTGAAGAGTGCATCTCTTCTTACGTGATTCTTCTAACAGCCACTGGAGGCAGGCAGACAAAGATCATTCATTCGCTCATTTATGGAGCCAACAAGCACTTACCACGTGGAGTTACTAGGTGCCAGACACTGTCCAAGGAGCTGGAGACGCCGCCATGAACAAAACACAGTCCCACTCAGGAAAAGGGTCCAGACAGACCACACGCAAGTAAATAAACTAATGCACGACAGTGGACACTCCCTACTTCCTTGTCCTGATTTATCTGTCTTCATAGTATTAATGGCTTCTTAACACTGCATCATATATTGGAGAAGGATGAGGTACCATTTTAACTAAGATGACATTTGAGTAGGGTCTTGACTGAAGAGAGGGAGGGAGTTAAATGGCTGTCTGGAAGCTTGGAGGAGAAGCACCCCAGGCAACAGAACAAGGCTTCAATGCCTTTTTACAGATGAGATCAACTAACAATCAGAGAAGACTCCAGAACACAGCCCTGACTCTTAGCCCTAGCTCCACCCCAGCTGGCTCTCAGAGACCCTGGGCTTCTCCAGCCATCACCTTCCCCTTCCCCACCTCCCCCTCCTGCCCCTTCCCTACCCTGTAACTCCCAAGGGTGGAACAGGGTCGGTTTGTCCACTCAGCTCTATATACACAGAGCCTCTGGCCTGTGAATTTTTTCAAAGACCTTCATATGTTTGAAATATGCAAAATATTATTAATCCCCAAATATGAAAAGGAAAAAAATGCAAAATCAAAAAATTTTTAATGTTTAATTAAATGTCCACAAAGCATAACATGATGTCAACTTGCCTCGTTAATGATTTATTCATAAACATTTCATCACATCTGAAAATAATCGGTAGGTTAGATTGTTTTTTTTAGTAAGAATATCTGAGTTGGCTTAACGATTTCCAAGAAATCAGAGTCTATTGTAAATTCAATGAGTTATTTGCATCCCTGAAATTCCAAATGTTTTTCAACCTTTCCAAGTAATTTTTACAATAAAAATTATATTAATGAGGCATTTAACATGGATGCTTTGATATGGATTTGTGAAGATCTCAAACAGCCTTGGCTGGGAGCGTACAAGGCTCTGTGCTAAGCTGTGAGAGCAGCAGCAGGGGCAATGGCTCCAAACCAGGCTCAGTGCCCAGTGCCCCAGGATCAGGGCTCCCGGAGCTTGGGCAGAAAGTGGCAATGCAGCCCAAGGGCCAGCGCTGTAGACAGAATGAAGGGCCTGCCCAGCAAGAGGTAGTCTGTGAGGCAGGGCACAGCCATTCTTTCCCTCTCTAACTACGCCCAGGGGTAGCAGGGCCAACCTCTGCCTCTGCGGGGGTCCATCCATCACAGGAGAAGGGCCTGGCTTCCTGGGTAGCTGCTCTCCCAGGCAGGTAGTGAGCACAGGGTGGAATAAGATGCAAGCCCAGGAGAGAGGAAATCAGAGTGGGAGGAGTCGCTGCCGAGGTCCCACAGTGACACGTCAAAGGCGGAGGGAAGGCTTGGCAGAGAAGAAGAGCTAAATTAACCTTGGTTTACCAACCTGACCAAAGCAGGCCCTTGGAGATTCTGGGCTTTGTCCACTTCCCTCTCCCCTCTGGGATCTGTTTGCTGAAGTTCACAGAGCCTCACCCCCAGGTTCACTAGGAAAAACTGCCGGGAAGACTCTACCCTCTTCTGATCATGCCCATAAACTCAGCATCCAAGCTCCCAAACCACCTCAGAAGGAAACTTAGAAGGCAGTTCATCCCACCCTCTGGGCGTTGGGCCATCTTCCAAAAGGTATTAATATTCAAAAAAATATTAGTCTGATTACTACTACACTCATTTATCATCTCTGGGTTAGTGACCAACTTGGCCAACAAACCAGCTCATATGCTTGGTTCCAAATGACTTTTGTCTCTTAGAAAAAAAAGGTAAAAACCATCATTAAGGATATTCAAGAGGCTGGGCTGAAGCCAGAGATGACTCTGAGCACCAGGGACCTGGAGGGGAAACTGAGCAAGAGGGAGGGGGAGGAGGAGTAGGGGGAGGGAAGGGGAGATGAGGGGGAGGGGAGGGGGAAAAGGAGGGGGTAGGGAAGGGGAGATGAGGGGAGGGGAGGGGGAAAAGGAGGGGGAGGGGAAGGAGGGGGAGGGGAGGGGGGAAAGGAGGGGGAAGGGAGGGAGGGGACAGAAAAAGGAGGGGGAGTGGCAGGGGTAGGAGAGGAGAGGAGGAGGTGGGGGAGAGGAGGAGGGAGAGGGAGGGGGCACAGAAGAGAGGAGAAGGGGAGGGTGAGAGGGAAGGGTAGAGGGAGGGGAAGAAGGGAGAACTGGAAGGGAAGGAGGAAGGGGAGGGAGAAGGAGGGGAAGGGGAGGAGGAGGAAGGGAGGGAGAGGGTGGGGGGGAGAGAGAAGGGAAGAAGGGAGGATAGGAGAGGGGAGGGGAGGGGTGGGGAGGGGAAAGGAGAGGGGAAGGGGAAGAAAGCTGAAAGAGCTAACTGAAGTTTCCGAAGGGCTCTGCTGAAGGGGTGCAGTTCACAGGAAGGTGTAAATTTCAGGACAATTTACTAAAAGATTATACCTAGTGGTCTGTCCATTCATCCATTCATTCATTCATAATATTTATTGGGTACTTCAGTGCTCTGGACACTCCCTGGCAGTGAAAATAAGGTCTGTGACCTCAGGCAGCTTTTATTCTCTTGGGAGGGACAGATGATTAACAAGGATACAATACAATATAATACATACTTATAATATAATTGAAATAACTTAAAGTACTGTGTGATGCAGGAACACATTTATGTGTGGTGTGTACACAAGTGTGCAGACACACTCCTGTGGGCACCTCTGTGGCAGGAGCCAGCCCCTCCCTGATGGGCACCGACTGCTGCAGACAGACATGGTCACACACGCACGCACACACACCGCCCCTCCTCTGTGGAATACCCTTGTGCCAAATCGGATGCAGCCGCCTTGCTCACCTAGCAGATAGGCAGAGAGCACGCCAGGTATTTGGGAGCACCCAGCGTGTCCAAGCCAGGCCTATGATTGGACCAGACGTCCTGCTCCCGGTTAGCAGGACCTTGCTGCCTGTTACCACCTCAGCCCACTGGCACTCTCAGGGATCATCTCCAAGGGCACCAGGCCGTTCCTGCACCAAGTGAAACACACAGCTGAGCAGGGTCTGTCTGTCACCAGCAAGGGGGACCGTGGGCCAGGACATTCTAAGCTGATGCTCTTCTGCCTTTCCCTCTGGAACATGAGCACATTTTACAAACACAGCCTCTCTTCCCTAACTGGCATTATCTTCCTCCCCTTCCCTAATCTCTCCAATTTTCTCTTTTGCCATCAATAGACCGATTTCAAACTACATGCCTGTGAGAACTTTGCTTCCTTTGTTCCTAAAGGTTTCCCAGTCACACATTGCAAATCAGGGTAGCACGGTGGTAAAGGGCATGGTTCTGGAGCACATGGGCTCCAGAACCCATGTTCAAATACTGACTTCCCATTTGCTAGAAAGTAATGGAAACTCTGTGCCTATTTCTCTCTTTTTTTTGTCTGCGCCACGTGGCATACGGGATCTTAGTTCTCCAACCAGGGATTGAACCCGTGCCCCCTGCAGTGGAAATGCGGAGCCCTAACCACTGGACTGCCAGGGAATTCCCACCGTGCCTATTTCTTTATCTGTAAAATGAGATACCAGTTCCTAACTCAAAGGGTGGTTGGAACAATTAAATGAGATCATGCATATAAATAAGGCACTTAGCACCAAGCCAGCACTGAGTAAGTACCTAAGAAAAGCCACCCCAGTAAGAACTCTCAGAAAGTTCTCTCCTAAGTCGTTTTACTTTTGGTTGCAGTTTGACCACGATAGTGCATGAAATCTTCTACATGCACAGTAGCCCCAGTCACGGACAGGCCACCTTTGTGCCAGCTCAGCATGGGGGAGAGCAGGGAAGAGAAGCCCAAGAAGCCAAAATCAAATACTTGCAGGGAAGCAATTATGGCAAAGGAAGTTCTGAGGACCAGTGATGTCTCAGCTAATGTCTCCAGGGCAGTGTTTCCCACTGCCTGGTCCACAGAATCTAGTTACATGAGGTTTTAACAGGTATCTTGTCTGTTCCCCACACCACCTCCACAAAAATAAAAGAAAGAAAAAAATCATTGTCAAATAAATAAGCAAAACACTTGGGCGAACAAGTCAAATAGGTTTTTTTAACTGCAGAACTTCTCCAAACCTTTAATATACTAACACACACTGGAAGGTGTGAGACACAGCTATAGTACACAGAGTATCCCGAGTTCATCTGACCACGTGATGGTTAATTTTATGCGTCAACTTTACTGAACAAGGTGCTCAGATATTTGGTCAAACATTTTTCTGGCTGTTTCTGTGAGGGCGTTTCTGGATGAGATTAACATTTGAATTAGGAGACTGAGTAAAGCAGATTGTCCTCCCTTATGTGGGTGGGCCTCGCCCAATCAGTTGAAGGTCT